CCACGTGACCACTACCTGCCCCCAACAGTGCACGTGGACCAAGTGGTTCGATGTGGACTTCCCATCTCCTGGGCCCCATGGCGGAGACGTGGAAACCTACGACAACATCATCAGACACGGAGAGAAAGTCTGCCATAAGCCTGAGGAGATCATGCAGCTGGAGTGTCGTGCAGAGAACCACCCAGACGTCAACATCAAGCAGCTGGGACAGGTGGTGGAATGCAATCCCGATGTGGGACTGGTCTGCCGGAACCAAGACCAGATGGGAAAGTTCAAGATGTGTTTCAACTACAAGATCCGCGTGCTATGCTGTGAATATCAAGACGGCTGCCCACCAACCTCTGTGTCTCCCAACGTGACATACCCTACCACAGCCACATCTCCAACAGAATCCACTTCTGTCACACCATGGTCCAGCTCCACCTCCATCTGCTACTGCGTTGTGGCTGACAAGACCTACCCTGCTGGTAGGTAGCAGCTCTGTCTGCATGTTTGGTGGACGCAGGGCTGGTGTTGGTAGAGATCCATTGTGAAGGGATGGGGCCCTTGCTCCTCCTGTATTGGCCTGGATTGTGTCCGCTCTCCTCTGTGTCTCTTATTCCCCTTGCTATCATCAGTGGGTAGAAAGAGGGCCCCGCTAGTGGCTCTCCCTAGAGTGGACACACCTGGTGGACAGGAGTGGTCAAGGCACTGCTCCTGTGTATGGCTCTCCGAGCCAGCCCATGAACCACCAGTGTGATGCTTACCTTGCAGGAAGCATCATCTACCAGAAGACTGACCTCGATGGGCACTGTTATACTGCCCAGTGCACGCAGGACTGCCGCGTGGTCAGGCATGCCAGTCATGACTGCCCATCCACCACGCCGACTCCCACACCGCCAACGTCCTCTTCACCTAGCCCTGATCACGGGTGCTCACACGTAGTTCCCCCAAAAAAGGTAACCTGCCTTCCTTACTCTCCCAGGAGAAATGCCAGCTGGGGCTCAGGGTCCAGGTAGGGACCTGAAAGACCCTCCTGAGGGCTCTGTGAGTTCACGTGGAGGCAGTACTAGGGAGCTGATGAGGACTGACCAGGAGGTGGTCCCATCCTGGGTGTGGTGGTGCCGGCTAGGCACTAGGGCTACAGAGGATCCTATGTGCAGATCAGGGAGACCAGGGCACCCAAGAGGACCTCGAGGCTCTGAATCAGGGAGGCCCATGGCAGGTTGGGACTGAGAGCCAGGAGTAGGGACTGGGGGATTCATATCTGGGAACAGGATGGGAATGGGGGGCAGAGAGGGGCACCTTCCATACCGCAGGCACCCTCAAATCTGCAGGTCCTGGAGACCCACAACAGTCTGAAATAGCTGGTTTGAGGGGTGGGGAGGCCAGAACATGAATGGGGGCCCTGCTCCCCACCCCCTTTCTGAGAGTTGACTGCAGGTACCCATCATTGCCAGAGCAATCACTGGACCCGCCAGGCCTCGGCCAGCCTCGCCCTACACGGAGGACCTCCTGAGACCCTAACCCTAACCCTTTTGACCCCACAGAAAGGCGAGACCTGGAGCATGCCCAACTGCACCCAGGCCACCTGTGAGGGTCACAATGTCATCACTGTGATCCCAAAGAAGTGCCCACCCACCAAGGCGCTGACCTGTGCCAACGGGTACCCGTCCGTGAAGGTGGAGGACAAGGATGGCTGCTGCCCTCATGAGGAATGCCAATGTGAGCCAGCTGTCTGGGCTGTGGGCAGGCGGGGGGCAGGGTAGGGTGCTGGGGCAGCGGGGCTCCACTGGGGCAGGCAGTGGACTTCAGGAAGGGGAGCAGCAGGAGGAGTTGCCCAAGGATGTCCCTGTGGGGCCAAGGAGGTAGAGGGTCAGCCCGCTCCTCTGCAAATGTCTCAGCACTGCCTAGCAGCACTCACCTGGACTCTGGACCACACTAGCTCCCTTCACCTGTGTGTGCGGTGGTGGGTGGGACCAGACCTTTGATGTGACCCATGGATGGGGAGAAAGGTGACCTGTGGCCTTTGCCCCACAGGTGTCTGCAGTGGCTGGGGAGACCCCCACTACATCACCTTTGACGGTACCTACTACACCTTCCTGGACAACTGTACGTATGTGCTGGTGCAGCAGATTGTACCCATCTACGGCCACTTCCGCGTGCTCATCGACAACTACTTCTGTGATGCCGAGGATGGGCTCTCCTGCCCCCGCTCCATCATCGTCGAATACCAGCAGGACCGCATCGTGCTGACTCGCAGGCCCGGCGGTGTTGGCATTGCTGCCAATCAGGTGGGCAGGTTTCTCTGCTGGGCACCACTCCCTTACCAATACCCCTGGGATCCCGCCTTGGCACCTCTGACCAAACACCTGCCCTCTGTCCCCAGGTCATCTTCAACAACAAGCAGGTCCAAGCCGGCTTCAAAAGCAACGGCATCATCATCTCCCAGGTTGGCATCAAGATGTATGTGAACATCCCCGCCATCGGCCTGCAGGTCATGTTCACTGGCCTCATCTTCTCAGTGGAGGTGCCCTTCAGCAAGTTTGTCAACAATACCGAGGGCCAGTGTGGTGAGAAGCCCCTGTCCCTCCCTGGCCCCACCCTAACCCGGGACACTGCTGGGTGGAGAAGCCCAAGGGGAGGTGAAGGGACCCTGCAGGTCCAGAGCTCATCGTCAAGGGGTAGCCCTGGGATGGCTGGATTGGCTTCCAGCGTGGGGGTCCTGTGCTCCCCATTGCTCCCTGACTTCAGCACATCCCCCTCCTCCCCAGGTACCTGTACCAATGACAAGAAGGATGAATGTCGTCTTCCCAATGGGTCTGTGGTCGCCTCCTGCTCTGAGATGTCTAACCACTGGAGGGTGACCACCCCCGACCAGCCGTCCTGCCATGGTCCACCCCCGACATCCATTCCAATCACCACAACCAGTAGTACCAAGCCCACCTCATGCCCGCCATCACCAATCTGCCAGTTGATTCTGAGCGAGTAAGGCACCAGATGGGAGGGGGTGGTGGCAGGTGCCGTTGGAGAAGGAGGGAGAGTGGGGCCTGGGGACAAAGGTCAGGGTCTCTGGGCAGGCTGTTCTGCAGGGCATGAGGGCCCATCCGTGTGGCTCCGAGTGGAGCAGGCAGCGATGGGGTGCTGAGTTCAGGGGGTTGTCCATCCCTGCACTGCTGTTCTGGGCAGGAGCAGTCACACAAAGGGGACAGCTTTGCAAGACTGAGGGGAGATCAGGGAGAATTTGTAGGGAGCCAAACGCCCAGTCAGCAGACATGTCTTTGTCTCAGGCAAGTTTTAGGGGGTCCACAGATAGGTGCCCACAGCCCCCCCCAAAGGAGACATCATGTTGGTTATGGCCATGTGTCTGGGATCCTCTGCTATGAGTCAGCGGGTAGGGCAGGGACGGCAGCCACACCTCCCCTGTTTCCTAGGGTCTTTGCGCCCTGCCACGGCATGCTTGCCCCACTACTGTACTACGAAGGCTGTGTATTCGATCAGTGCCACATGACAGACTTCAATGTGATATGCTCCAGCCTGGAGCTGTATGCCTCGGTCTGCTCATCCCTAGGCGTGTGCATCGATTGGAGGAGTCATACCAACAACACCTGCCGTAAGTGCACCCGCTAAGACACTGGGCAACTAAGGGGGGGGTCCTCATCGAGCAGGACAACAACCCCAGGGAGAGAAAGGAGCAGGCAGCCAGCACAGGGGTGCCTATCGACTGTGGGCTCTGCCAGGTGGGACCACTCAGGCAGGTGGGACAGGTAGGGCCCAAACTGAAGCTGGGCAGAGCCAGAAGGACCCAGAATCCAGCCCCTTTGGACAAAGTTGGATCAAGGCTCTTGAGGTGGCATCCTGAGTTGACTCTGCACAAGTGCCCCCAGACTCACAGTGGGCATCTCCCTTCTCGCAGCTTTCATCTGCCCTGCGGACCAGGTGTACCAGTCCTGTGGCCCACTCAACCCTTCTTCCTGCTATGGAAGTAACAACACCAGCCTTGCGTGCGTACCTGTCACACCCTCCCCAGCCCCCTCTGCACACCTGCTCCCCCTCCCCCAGAGCCCATGACGGAGGGGCAAGGTGCATCACAGATGTCAAGACCCGGAGAGGTGGTCCTCTGCTCTGAAGGCAGCTGACGATCCCAACTCCCCTCTTCTCCCACAGGGTCCTTCAGGATCCCGGCTTCTCCACGGAGGGCTGCTTCTGCCCGGCTGGCAAGATGCTGTTCAGCTCAAACTCCACCATCTGCGTACCCAGTAACTGCTCATGTATGTCAGGGTCAGAGGACTGGGTGGGTGGAACTGTGGGTGCACATGGTTCTCAGTCAGGGCCTGGATCACCTACAATGGGTCCCACTGTCAGGGCTGAACTATGACCCTCACTTGCTCCTTTCCCTCCAGGGTGCCTGGGGCCCAGAGGAGAGCCGATAGAGGTAAGCATGGAGCCTGGGTTCCGTCCTGGGGGGTCCAGTGCAGAGCAGGGGACCCAGGGGAGATGTGGAGAGCCTGCACTCACTAAGTGTCTTGCTACCTCCTGGAGGACACCCGACCCTTTGCCCAAAGGGCTCCCCACCCTGACCAGCTGCCCTCTGACCAGTCCATCTGCCCTCCCCCCGCAGCCGGGCCAGAGCATCATCAGCAACTGTCAGGAATGCACATGTGAGGGCAGCACAGGAACCATGCGATGCCACAGCCAGACCTGCCCGGTACCCAAGTGCCCCACACTCGGCCATGTGCCCGTGCCTGTGCCCCTGCAGACTGACCAATGCTGTCCCAACTACCACTGCGGTGAGGCTGGGGGAGGGGCAGGCAGGGGCAGCTCTACCATGCACACGGGCAGCTTCTCTTCAGGCCTGCTCTAGGCTTTGGTTGGGGTGTTACAGGAAAGAGGGCGTCTTGATGCTGACCCCAGGAGTTGGGGATACAGCACCATTCACCCCTCCCTAACCTCTTCCCGTGGCCCGACAAGGTGTCTGGGTGTTTGAGGGGGGTTCCTCCCACCCCTGGGGAGCTCCTGAGCGGCCAGCACCCCTGGAGGACTTGGAGCAGTGTTTCATACAGCCCCTGAGTGTCCCTCTCACCCTCTACAGTCTGCAACACCAGCTACTGCCCCCAGCTCACATCCTGTCCCAAGGGCTCCCACGCGCTCCCCATCCACAAGGAAGGAGAATGCTGTCCCGGCCAGAAGTGCAGTGAGTACTTGGTCTCACTGGGGCTGACTGGGGGTTGGGGGTGCAGACCAAGGCCACCCTGCTTGTCCACTCCTGATAACAAGCTAGACACTATAGTATTGGGCACCTGAGGGGGCACCAGAGGGCGGTCCAGGGGAGGGGGATGCGGGGTCAAGTTAGGGGTGTAGGGTAGGTCAAGGTGGTGGCAAGGTCTGGAGGTCTGTCTGTCTTTTTTCTGAACAGTTTATGATGTCTGTGTGGTCAACGGCAGTTTGTACCTGGTAAGAACCTCTCCAGGAAGAAACGGAGAACCTCTCCAGGAAGAAACGGAGACCCCACCCTTGAAACTTCCCTGGGACCCCTTTGGGCTTTTTCCTGGCTGGTGTTCCTAGCCCCCAAACAAGGGAGCCTGTGCCCGTGTGGGCACCCACCGTGGGGCCCAACTCTAAGCTCTGTCCACAAGGGTGGGGCTCATCTTGGCCAGAAGGGCTCCCCAGGGGGTGGGGTCTAGGACTGGGGAAGCCGGAGAGGCTGCCTGACGCCCACTATTCGGGGACTCTTCCTCCGCAGCCTGGCGCCGTGGTTTCCTCAAGCGTGTGCGAGACATGTACATGTCAGGCGGCCGGAGACCCCGAGACGGACCCCTTCGTGGTGGTTTGCGAGACCCAGATTTGCAATCGCCACTGCCAGGCGGTGAGTGCGTCCCCTCCACTCCCTTGGCCCCTCCTTCCAACGCCAGCCCTCCCAGCCGGTCAAGGTGTGGAGCGGCCGTGGGCGGGGCTCAGGCTGTGGGCGGGGCTCAGGCGGTGGCGGGGCTCAGGCGGTGGGCAGGGCTCAGGCTGTGGGCGGGGCTCAGGCTGTGGGCGGGGCTCAGGCGGTGGCGGGGCTCAGGCTGTGGGCAGGGCTCAGGCTGTGTGTGGCTGCCCACCCCCGCAGGGCTTCGAGTACCGCGTGCCGAGTGGCCAGTGCTGCGGCAGCTGCGTACAGGTGGCCTGTGTCGTGAACACCAGCGACAGCTCTGTCCACCTCTTCTACGTGAGTGGCCACTGCCGCGGGAGGTGGGGTGGTGTGGCCTGGGGGCTGGGGCTGGGGCTGGGGCTGGGGCTGGGGCAGAGCAAGCCCTAACCCATCTCTGGAGCTCCGGGACAATGATCCCAGAGTCCTCAGGGGTGTGGGGCAAGCGGGCAGAACCCTGGAGCCAGAATGGAAAGGCCTTTAACCAACGGGGGCCATAGTCTGACCCAGCGCTGGCTCCACCGTTGAAAGTTGGATCTTGTCCCTCCGAGGCCATGGAACCCCCATTGCCCGGAAAGCATGGGGGTGGGCAGACAGTCTTAGTGGGACTCTGCCCCTGCGTGGAGGGTGGAGCACTCACTGCAGTGGGCGGGGCGCTCACCGTGGTGGGCGGGGCCTCCTTCCAGCCTGGTGAGACCTGGTCGGATCCCAGGAACCACTGTGAGACGCACGAGTGTGAGCAACACAGAGATGGGCTTGTAGTGGTGACAACGAAGAAGGCATGCCCTCCACTCACCTGCAAACAGGTACGACCCTGAACCCACCCGCCTCACCTTGCCAAGGCCAGCCACCGAGGATTGGGTGGGATGCCCAAAGTTCACTCCTCTCTGAGCCTGGCCTGGCCTGGGTCCCCCCATTTCTGTGGCTACCCAGTGAGTCTCCCGACACTCACTACACACTCACCTTGTCCACACAGGACCAGGCCCGGCTCAGCGAAGATGGCTGCTGCTTCTACTGCCCACCCCAGAACAGTAAGTGGGGTGCCCAAGGGATGTAGCAGGTGGTCCTCAGGGAGGGCTGGGGGAAGTCCGACAGTCCTAACCCTGTGTGTCCCTCTGTCCCCCAGAGTCCACCTGTGCCGTGTCCCACAAGCAGGAGGTCATTCGGGATAGAGGCTGCAGCTCCACCCAGCCTGTGGTCCTCGCCTACTGCAAGGGCAACTGCGGGGACACTTCCTCAATGTACGTGAGCCCTGGGGCTGCACCCCTCAGCCTCAGATGGTCCCATGGGGCACCCTCAGGGCCTCCAGGGACACAAGAAGGTGACCCATAAGGAAGAGGCCGGGAGTTCTGAGGGCACAGCCAGGGTCTGAGACTGGGTTGAGGCCCACGTTCCGTTTGGAGTCATATTCTGCTGTCTCCTGAGACTGTAGGCCTCAATGTCCCCATTGGTAGGTTGAGAGCAGCCCCTCCCGGCGATTGAAAGCTAAGCCAGTCAGTGCAGTGTCCCTTCCTGGCCCTTCACTGGTGACATGAAAGCAGCTTTGGTGGCAACATTTACACCGGGGTCATTGGCAAATGCTGCAAACCAAGAGTGTTTGGTTTGGTTCTGGTTGGTAAACTTTGATCTCTGTGGTCATCACTGTTTAGCACGGGGCTTGGCACATCTAGGGGCATTTACTTTGGCAGTTCCCAGTGACACCTGGTGCTGAGTATCCTCTGCCCGCAGGTACTCCTTCGAGGCCAACATGCTGGAACACCGGTGCCGGTGCTGTCAGGAGCTGAGGACATCACTGAGGAATGTGACCCTGAGCTGCTTGGATGGCTCCACCCGGGCCTTCAGCTACCGCCACATTGAGGAGTGTGGCTGTGTGGGCCCACGGTGTGAGGCGCCCAGCGACTCCAGCCACTCAGAGCCCAAGCAGAGCGAAGAGGAAGAAAGTCAGGAGATGAAGAGTGGACACTGGACCAGAGGGCAGGCCTCCGCCTCCCCCGTGCACTGACCGCACTTCTGATCTGGGCTCCCACCGCCTCCCCCCTGGACAGTCCCATGTGGGTGTCCAGGCATTTGCTCCCCTTCTCAGCCTCTAAGACTTGTGGAACCAGAGCCCTGATCCACCGTCCACCTCACCTCATCCTATTCCTCTCAGAGGAGTGGACGCTGCTGCCTGAGCTACACCCAAACTGGCCATAGCATCCCCTGCCCGTGGGGCTGGCCTGGGACTGTTGGAACTCCTCAGTTGGAACTGGGGTCCAGCATCATAAGAGGGTCCCACCAATAACAGTTACCATGGTGGGACCTGGACTCTCCCTTGGACATGACCATCGACTACCCAGCTGGCCGCCGGGAGGCAGAGCCTCACGCTACCTCGGCCCTGTGCCATGTCCACCCCCTTTGGAACCCTTGGTTTCATAAATACACTGAAGCATTTTGCAATTCATGACTCTGCATTTTCTAACCAGTCAGTACACCCTAGGGGTGGGGTGGGTCCGGTCCACAGGGAGGGGAGGGTGGGCAAGAAGTGCCACCTGGAGTGGACAGGTCAGTGGGCAAAGTCAGTCAGGCCGCAGGGGCAATGCTGAGGGGCTCAGGAGCCATCCTTTGCTTCTGTCTAGAGGCCATAGGGGTTCAGGCATGCCGTGGACACTGGGCAGAGGGTGTGGAGAGTCCAAGGATGGAGGCTGACAGGTGGATACATAGGTGCCCTCCCAGGACATGTCAAGTCCCTTGTTTCACCAAGAGGAAACTGAGACCCAGAAAGGGGTGATTCACTGGAAGTCAGCAGGGTGGATACAGGAAGCTGGCCGGGTGGGTGATTTCCCCCTCAGGCTCCTGCAGTTTGATGTCCGATGCTTCTCCATCACAAGGCCTAGGTTAGCTGCCAGAACTTGGGCAGGGTCTGGGGTGAGGTCTTGGTCTTCTAGCAGAAATTTCCAGCAGGGTACCTGTGCTCCCAGAAGTCACCAGTAGGTGGCAGCACATCCAGCACTTCCAGGTCACAGTGAAGCTGAGGTTCAAAGGGGAAAGGGGCCACCCAGAGGGTTAAGGACAGCCTTGCTTTATAAGGCCCCTGTTCTGCCCCTAGGTCGAGGTCCGGTTTCTCCCAGTTCCCCACAATGGCTGGGGGGCTCTTGCTGTGCTTGGTGCTGAGAGGTCACCTTGCCAAGTCCAGGGCAGGACTGTGGACACTGCCAGCCAGAGGCTGGGATGTCAGGCCATAAGTGGTCATGCCCCAAACACCTCCGTCCACCAACAGCTCAGCCTCTTGCCCATTGTGCTCTGCCATTGGCTCTGGCCGGCCAGAGTCAGCGGACCTGGAGCGGGGAGCCTGGAGCCCCCTGACTAGGCCACTCTAGCACCAGCAGACATGACCCATGAACCTTTAGTGCTGCCCAGTGTGGACGCACAGGCTTCACAGGCCAGAGAGAAAAGACCAGCCCCTCTGGCCAGGAGTCACCTATAGTGGTGTGAATAGACTCAGCTGAGGTGGGCAGTCACTTCCCACCACCCGAGATGCCCTCCCATCTCCTTAGAAGCAAGCAGCAAGTCCTTGGTGTCGGGCTTAGGAGATATCCGTGTGGGGTTCTGGGATTTTGTGACCCTGTGGCCGCGAGGCAGCTGTTGGCCCAGTCACAGGGCTGTCGGCTGCCGCCACCCCCTGAGCGGATCGTGTGTCCCAGTGAGCCGCCTCTTCCTCATGGGGTGGGGTGGGGTGGGCTCACAGTGACTAATCCCCATACACTCCAAAAGTGGTTTGGGGCCCTGGCCTCCTGCTGTCTGTGTCAGCCCCCTGCCTGGAACCAAGGGCTGGACGCAGGAAGTAACTGGACCCACTGGGGCCTCAGCAACCCCGGTCAGTTACGCAAGACAGGGTTTCCGGAAAGTGCTCCAAAGCTGGGCGTGGCCCACCAACCCCTCCGCAGCCATCCTGCCCTTCTGTCCACGGGAGGCCGGGCAGCTTGGGTTCACCATGCACATGGGGGTGAGAGGGTAGGGGGCAGGCAAGGCATCACCTTGCCCCCCAACAGTGAGAAAATACCCTAGGAAGGGACTGGCCTGTGTGGTTACAACCCTGCTGCTGGGATCTGTGGGCCCCTAAATTCTGTCCTCTGACCTCTGACCTCTGGCCTCTGGCCTTGGGTGTGACATCACCTCCCGAGCCCGGAAAGCAGGCTTACCTGTGTGCAGTGTCTGGGAATGACCATCAGGATCCACACGTTGCCCCATGGTCTGGTGTGTGTCGGGGGGTGTCCAGCCTCCTGCTTCTGGGGTACCTAATGACTGTTGTTAGGATGGGTGACTCAGAGTCACAGTCCCTCCTGATGGCTCACCCCAGCATGCCTACCCCACTGAGTATTCTCCCACTACGGCGCCAGCTAGTGGATGAAGGCACCATGGTCCAGTTCAACCAGACACACTGGCCTCAGCTCAGTACTTCGATGGCAGACCTGGGTCCTTGTGGCACTCAGGCACCTGCCTAGCTGAGTGGAGACAGAGCAAGAAGGTTTCAGGGGCT